AATCATGGAAATAGAGTCTTTCGGATCTAACTGTACAGAATGTTTGGAAGAAGACTGTATCAAAAAACAAGAAAATTCTCTTTTGGCAGAAATCTATAAAAACAAATATCTTCAAATTAGGTTAAAGTATGATTTTGAACTTCAGGAGAGCAAATTAAAATCATAGAAAGAGTTTCTTTCGGATCTAACTGTACAGAATGTTTGGAAAAAGATCTATGCTTGTGAGTTAAGACCAATTTTGTCAGAAAAATTTCTCCTGATTGCTTTACTTCTTCTTTTAAGGACACAGTTGACTCTGTCATAGAGAAATCATTCTTTTGTGATTCTCTCATAATTGATACTCATCATCATTGTAAGGCTGATCTGGTATATAAAGCTGAACATGATGTCTCTTTCACTGATGCAGAAGTTTATAGCATGATTGGCCTATGTTCAAATAAATCTTCGAGTTCTGATAGGATTACTAATGAAATGATGAAAACTTTCATATTGGTTGCCCCTCTACCTTGCATGCTATGTTTAATATATGTCTCAAGCTTGGCATTTTCCCATGATGCTGGAAGAATGTGAGGCTTATTCCTAAAAGTACTGAGATTTCGAATATATCAATAACATTCATTGTAATATTCATAGGCAAATGTCTTGAGAAACTGTGTGTAAATAGATTTATCATCTCGGTCATTCTGGTCTTTTGAGTAACGATCAGTTTGGATTTACTCCTCAGAGGACTGATAATGATGCCTTGCTTCAATTATGTAATATTTTTGCTCACGAGAAGCATAGGAATTATGCCAGCTTTCTTATTTTCTTGGATATTGGGATTGCATTCGATAATGCATGGTGGCCTGGTGTTCTTAATTTGCTTAGGCATCTCAAAATCCGTAAGGATATATTCTATTTAAGGAAGAGTCTCTTGCAGTTTTGTTCCTGCTGAAATTACTTTTATGATGAATATGATGAAAAAATATAATGTGGAGAAGATGTCCTGAGGGTTCCATTTCTGGGCCTTTTATTTGAAATCTTATTACGAATAATTTGGTTTGTAATTTGAGAAAATTCCAGGACAGTCACCAGATCGCTTTTGCAGATGATTTTCTTGTTAGTATGCAATGTAAGAACATTAATGATGCCAGTGCTCACTCTCAGAATATTTTAAACTATATTTTTGATTGGTCAAAGCACTATGAGCTTGAATTTAACCCTTCAAAGTTGAAAGTTATGAAGATACACAAAAAATCAGTGTCGTCATACAAGACTGATTTAACTCTTAGGAGTGAGTATATTGAAATGCAGTGTATTAAATATTTAAGAATTATTGTGGACAATAAATTACAGTAATAGCAACATATTAGGTCTACTGCAAATTTCAGAGAGCACTTATGGGGTTAAAAGTGATATTCTCAAACTGATTTATAATCAGGCCATTGTATCACTCATTTCCTATGCCACACAAGAGCTTGGGGAAATTTTTTAAGCAAGAAAATAAACTGTGATCTTCTTAGAAGGGTTCAAAGAAGATTTCTCCTCTGCATTATTCAGGGATACAGGACATGTTATGAGGCGGCATTTATTATTTCTGGTCTTCCACCTATTGAATTAATAATCTTAAATGATCTGGGCATTAGAGATAAGACTTTCCAATGCAATCTTCAGTTCTCTTGCAGTCCCTTGAATGGGATGTTTTCTTTTTCAAATTTGCCTCACTCTTCAGACAGAAATCCTGTGACAGTTGTTACTTATGAGGTTAATGTTTTCCAAGAATATAGAATTATTCGTTTCACAGATAGTAGTAAGTTATATGAAAAAGGTTGGCCTTATATTTGCTATTTATGAAGATGGCAGGGAGAATGTAGCTGTCCAGTATAGTATACCAGATATATAGTCTGTTTTTCAAGCCGAGCTTCTGAGCTTAAATCTTGCCATTAAAAGGATGCAAAACTCTTGTCGTAAGAATGAGACATTTAGATAGCTTATTTGCAGAGATTCACTTTCATCTCTCTCTTTTATGTGATACACTGTTGACTAAAAAAAATGATGATGAAAATTCACTTTATATTATATGCGATTGGACATACTACAGCTATTCATTTTACCTACGTTTGAGGCCACAGTGGTATTCTTGGTAATGAGAAGGCTGACCATTTGGCTAAGCAATCATGATATTGATTTAATGTTGTCTGCTCCCAAGTTCTATTGGAAGCACGTGGCATGGGAGAAAACTGTGGTTGATTGAAATGCTGATTATCTTGCTTCTTCGAGGGCCCAGCGGACAAAAAGATTTTTCCAAGGGTTCTTCAATGTCTTAAGTGTAGGCATTTTCAATCGGATTATAACCTTACTCAGAATTTGACCTGTATTGTTAATGTGTAATTTTCCTTTGTATCGATATTAATTCAATATTGTTATTACTTTATTAAGTTGGTTTATTTTCTTTTATAGGAATATTTACATAGTTTAATTATTCATAGTATATTTTAGGTATTTTTATTATAATAGTTTTTATATTTTTCTTTGTTCTTTCTCCAGATCTAGATATTATATTTTTATTGTTGAATTGTATCTGCTTGTATTGTGAGTTATTTACTTACATCTGTAAGTCTTGTGGAATATTTATTGGAACACGAGAAGTTTTGTACTTGGTTTCTTAATTAAAAAAAAAAAAGATGTCATCAAAATATATTTATGTGGCAACCCAGTTATGCATATAACATGTCTATATGATGGGTGTGCAATGTGCATGTTGAACAGAGCAAGTTTGTGCTCACTGTTGTTTGAATCCAAGTTCTCTGATGTTTTTTTAAGCATAAACAAATTGACAATTTGCTGTGTATGTGAGAGAACAAAAGCACAAGAAAGGGACTTCTTGAAAAAGGTTTATTTTGATACCGATGTTTCATGCTCTTTAAGTTCTGTTGATTTGGTTACATTTGAATGGAATTCTTAGTGTGCCATCATTTTGAAAATTGCTGTTGCCTTTTGCACATTAATGCGGCAAAGTTTAGTCAGCTACAAGTTTTCAAATACTGTCCAAGGGCAACGAGACTGTGTCTCTTTGATGGGGGGTGAATAATGAGAAAGTACCAGTTCTCTTTTAATATAAGATATTTAATGATAAAATTTTTAAATGCATTCTTTATTTTTTCTAAACTCATATTTATATCAGAAATAAATTTTATATATCGATTTCAGAAAAAGCTCCACGGTGCCTGGACTTTTTGTTCTATCTGAAATTCATCAGTAATTAAGTGTTAAGATTAAATTGTCAGAAATTAAAATTTTTGTAATATTCCATTATTGAATTAATGTTAAGTGCATTTGTACTTATTTTACAAAAGAGGAAATTAAGTATTTATGTATTAACTCAACCACGTTAGTAGAAATCGTCAGATTTTCAGATTGTGTAAATTTTTTTCACGTAACAAGTTGTAATAATTAATTTGCATTTATTTTGAATTTACAAATTAAAAAAATGATATCGTGATTATGGTTTTATGCTGCTTAGGAAATTTTTTATTTCAAGATTTTAAAAGGAAAGTATGTACAGTCAAAAGTTTTTAATCCGTACTCGTCGGGACTTCGGTGATTCCGGATTATTGGTTTTTCCAGATTATAGATCATCAGTTTAAATTTGGTAAGATGGCATGCAGAAATTATAAAATTAAAAATATGAAACCGTAATTTATGAAATAAAGAGTAATTATGATCTAAAATCAAAATTTGCAAAAAAAAAAAAAGTTTAATTAATATTTATTTGTTTACTATATTAAACATTTTTTTCAAAGCACGCATGTGTCGAAATTAGAAAATTGCAACCAGAAAACTATTTGATGTGTATTCGTGATATGAGGAATTTGATTTAAATCATATCAAAGATGGAGTACATCGAGATGAAATACTACATTTAGTAAGGAATTATAAGCTGAATAAAATAATAACATCTGCCCTGAAGATAAGGATAGTGCTGACAGATCAACTTCCAGTTCATTGCGTGCCGCGACGTTTCCTTCTCCCTGCACAGCAGCGTGAAATTGATAAGCAGATTTCAGAATGGTTAGAGAAACAAAGGATATGCCTTTATCCATTTTTTGCAGCAATTCCACTTTTTGTTTGATGGACATCAAAACATGCTTTCGCTTTGGCAGCTCCAGAATATAAATTCTTTTTGACATAATCGAAAGTTCAAGCTTACTTTTATAAAATTGCTCTAACAGTCTGCAAAAAATAATAAGCCATATCCAATTAGAGGATTTGGGAACAATGCAATCTGCAACATTAACTGAAATAGATAATTAGATAATTTTAGCCTAGCTTATACCATGCGTTATACATTAAACGTGCATGCGTAAATGTATTATGCACACGCGTAAATGCATAAGCACATGCATAAAAGTATTATGCGCGCATGCGTCAGCGCATGATGCGTTGATGCATGCGTAGAAAGTTTGTAGCTTTGAGGTCCGGATTATGGATGTCAGGATTAAAGACTTTTGACCGTATGAAGCTTATTATCATGATTTGCTTCTTGTAGTAGCGAAGCATTAATTTTTTTTAATAAAAATTATAAAACATTAACTAAATGGAAAATATTTTGTACATTTTTAAGAAGTTTTCTAAAATGATCTAAGAAAATTTTAGTTATCTTTTCTGGAAAGAATTGTTATATATTTAACACCATTAAAACTATATTATCTTTATTATGAAATGCTTTGAAAATTTTGGGCTTATTTTCACTCTTTAAAAGTAGAGCTTTTAGATTTTGTTTCAGTAAAATAAACTTCTTTCATTTGCTGTTTATTTAAAAGTTTAATACATTTATTCAGTAGTCTGAGGGTATCAACTATGATTTTAGGATACATAAAAATTTTACATATTTGTTATGATATTGATTGAGATATAATTCTTGTTTTAATTTTTTTGGTATCAACATATAATAATTAATTGATTTAATTTAATATAAATATGATTAATTTGTATGAATAATATATAAAATTTCTTTTCAGTTATGCCACTTGTAAAACAGCATAATACATGGGCTCAAGCTGCAGGAAAAGGTTTGAATAGTGTTGGGAATGGACCTACAAATCCAAGCAATACTGATATGGAAAGTGATCAAGATAATTCGGGGGGTTCAGCATCTAAAGTAATGAGAATGGAAGAAAATGTTAATGAATCACAGATTGCTGCTGCATTCAGTGAAGGTTGGGGACAAAGGGTATGTATGCAATTTGAATGGGTCTTTAATTAGATATGACTTTTTCATGTGTGTGACAAAATATAGCAGAATTTAATTTTTTAGCTGAATACCCCGTCCATGGACCATAAAATATGAATAATGACCTCTGGTATTGTGTATAACGCAGTATTTCTCTATCCATAATATGAATGCATCAGCAGAGATTTTCCAACTCTCCTGATTTAGGTGGGAGACTCCCAATTTCTGACTGTTCTCCCACCAACTCGATTTACAACATTTTTCTCCCGACTTTCTCTTATTTTTAAAATTTCTCACAATTTTTGTGTAGCTCTAATACTTTGTTATTTGCACTGAAAAATGAAGTGATTTGAGCATTAACTAAATGGAAAGGAAGCACTTGGTTATTCTCTAGGTTGCATGTAAAAAAAACCAAAGTAGTTTCATCAGTGAGAAATTATGGTGCACTTCTGCTTTCTGAGTGAGAGCACATGTGTCTGAAAATGTCGTGTTCCAGTTCTCCAATGAGCATCGAGCACCACAGCGTGTCTTAGCCAATGACCACAAAGCAAGATCGATATTATTTTGTTCATCATGATGTTGAACAGTGTGGGTGCATGTGCTTTCGAGAAATAGTTTAAGAAATTCCAATGTTTTCTTTTATTTAGTCTGCGAAAAAGGTAAAATACTCATGTATGTTGCAAAAATCGTACACAGATGACTTTCCATCTACTATTCTCTCAAGGAAATGTGTGAGAGGAATAAAGAAAGTTCACATTTGCGATATGTATTGTTTGTCATGTATGTTTGATATGCATTGTTTGTTATTTGCGATATGTATTGTTTTGCACGGTGGAAGGACCAACGTTCTTAAACATGTACATGCACAAAAACACAAGGATAACATCAATGGAAACAAAGGACCAAAATGTTATTAATGTAAAATGACTGGTCTGCCTTCTTACTGGAGCACCTGTCACTGAATGCATTGGTTCATACTGCAGCTTTGTTTAGAAAAATGTTTCTCAACAGCAAAATCACTAAGAAATACTCAACTGCAAGGTCCAAAATAGCTTCAATTGTGAAAGAAATGGATATGAAAAAAAAAATTTCAGTTATTGATTGCATTAAATTAGTTTCATTCCATCCCTCTACAGATGGAAGTAATAACACCGTTTTTTTTTTTTTTTTTTTTTTTTTTTTTTTTGTGTGTTTTGTGTGTGTGTGTGTGTGTGTGTGTGTGTGTGTAATTGTATATCAAAAGGAGTATGGTAACCTTTTATGTTGACATTACGCTTGGCGATAATTACATATTTGATGCAAAAGCAAAGTTTAAAGTTATAGAAAACATTTAGCAGAAATAATTATCACAATAAAAACTCTCTAAGATTATGTACTGTGCAGACATAGGTGACAAAAGTTTTAAACTTAACCAATTTATTAACAATATATATATAAATATAAAAAATACAATAAATAAATTTGATCAATATCAGAAACGTAAAGTTAAGAGTGTAACATAATCATTGTCAAAAATTACACTTAGTTAACTATTCATCAACCCCAAGGGTTTTTCCTTTAAAGAATATTACACTATTAATGATACAGTAAATACTGGCATTCAATAACTCGCTAAAAGCATATCACAGAACAAAACTACATGATTAATTTGAATTTTACTTGACTAAATAGGTCTATGCTTTTGGCCAAGAAGGCACCTGAAAAATTAAACCTTGAATGTACTTGAATTTATAAATACCGCTCACGGGAAATCACAGCTTGGAAAAACATTGCCGCTAGACCTGAAACACACTTGTGTTAATGATGCTGCCTACAGCAGTTGCTCACTAGAAACCATAACTTGAGATTATCGCCGCTTAAACTTGGAACAGGATGTCGCTCACGGCATTGCTGATCCGGATCAACTTGGATTCGTCGCCGCTTAACCTTGGAACGGGATGTCGCCCACAGCAGTTGCTCACCCGGATTCAACTTGAGATTCACTTAACCGCTTGCAAAAACCAACATGGCCCAGAACCATGGCACCAAAGAGGCACTTAACGTTGGACGACATGCATCACAAGAACGCCTCCGAATGAGAGCTGGAACAGCACACCAGGAGCAATGGAAACACGAACAAGAAGGGCTAAGCCAGAGCGATGCGAGATATTTATTTATATATGAAGTAGACATGACGTCATCTCACGACAGTTAGTCAGCTGTTGGCACGTCTCTGCTTTTCAGGTGATGTAACTTCAAGTTTCGTTTTTGCATCTTAATTAGGCTGGAACAGTCCATTCTTAATACAAACAGTGGCAGTGAAAATGAAGTAGAAGTAATTGCTATATCCCTTTAAAATAAAAACTAAACCTCATGTAAAAGTTAGAATTATTTCAAGAAGGAGAGATGATGCAGAAAAAGGGTTACAATGTGTCATATTTGCAACAATATTTAAGTTAAATGCACTAAAAAATGTTGACGTGGAAAAATTTACCAAAAATTTCTTTCTATATGCTAAAATTAGATTTTGTTGATGATACTCGTAAGTTCAAAGAATACATTTAGGGCTGATTTGTTATTCACATAAACCCAGAACCAGCGCCAGGGTTCGTATGGCTGCTTCGAATTGCAGAATTTAGGACCCACAGAGACTGCATCAGGTGGTAAGATAGCTAGCACCAGCCCTCAATATGGCTTAAGTATATGTTTGAATTTATTTATTCAGAACTCTGATAAGCCTTAGGCATCTGGCAAGAAATAGACATAAGTATAATAAATAAATAATACAATTAAGGCTTAATTGCTCAGTGCACGATAGAAGAGAGAAAATTTAATGGAACAACTTGTTGTTAGTTGCCAAGCTCATGATGCATTGCCAAATATTTAGTGAAGGATAGCTAAATTTGATGATGATAGCCGCTAATTTTAATGGTTTTTCGATATCGCAAAACAAAGGTAAGATTTTTCGATTAATGGATTTTCTAAAGAAATATGGAGAAGTGGTAATAAATGAAGATGATATAAGAGAAGTTTTTCATTGTGATGACAGTGCTTCTCAATCATCAATCAGTTAATGAATGACAAAATTTGTAGTATAGTTTTAGATCCAGAAAATTCTGTTATGGATAGTGAAAAAAGTAGCAGAGAAGTTACTGAAAACGAGAAAATTTTGATTGACAAGTTAGCAGAATTCTTGAAACAGCAGTTACACTACTTCAAGAAGGTAACTCAACAAGAGATTATGTCTGTCTGCAGAATTAAAGAGAAAGTATTAGCACAAAAAAACAAAGCAACTTACATTGAAATAAATGTTTAATAAGATAAACAAATAAATATTAAGCTTTTTTTTTTGTAAATTTTGATACCTTTTAAATCACAAATACTTCATTATTTCATAAATCATGATTTTATATATTTAATTTTATAATTTCTACATGCCATTCTACTAGATTTAAACTGATGATCTAATATCCGAAAAAATCCCAAATCCAGAATCGCCGAAGTTCGGATTTTGGATTTTGTACTGTACTGAAATAAGAAAAATTTTGAAACATGCTGGCTAGGTACCTTTCCGTTTCACTGGCGCAAATCTCGCCAAACAAACTTTGTTGGCGACAACATACAGTATGTACATAAAAAATGTTAACAAATGTTAGGTCTAAGAATTTTTTTATTTTGAAGTCATAAACATTTTAATTATGGTCTAAAATTTTGAAAAAAAGCTAATAAATAAAGACAATAAATTTGTAAAAAGACATTAATTTAAGAATTTACTATGCTTTCATGGTTCAACATCCTGATTCACCGGTTCGTATCACGTTACCCCAAGTGATCTCATCTCGCATAGTTTACGCTACAAAAATCTAATTCTCTCAGTAATTATCTACATTAACTTGAAGTTAAATCCTAATTTGGAATACAAGTTTAAATGCAAGAATTATTTCAATTTGTATAAATAACTAACTTGGAAATTATGTAAAACCACAATGTTTTAATTTGCTAGTGTATTCTTATTAGAATTGATGAATTTAACCCTTGATTTTGCCTGTTCTATATTTTCGCCTTCGGGTGAGCGGTTTGATTACATCCTAACTTGCCGACTTTATTGTTTACGCCAGCAAAACGGAAAAGTACGACTGGCTATTTTAAAGAAACGTTTATCTAGAATCCTCAACCAATGGAACCCACTTCTTGCATTTTTTAAAGAAGTAAGTGCTTCTAGAGTTAAGATTGAGAGGCTCTATTTTAGTTGCTCAATTGAACTTCTAGTATTGAAAGTTGTACGGTACCTAAAGTAAATGAAGGTGTAGTAACTACTTCCACCATTAAAAGTTTGTGTAAGAAAAATAAAGTAATTTCTGTGCTAGTAAGCAGTTTAAGTGGCAGTTCTCAAAATAACACTAGAAAATATAAGCTGAAAGCTGATACAAATTTCTCTCAAAAAAAAACACATTTTCCGATTATTTTAAGTGTATCTTGTGAAAAACAGATATTTTTGTTTTTGTCTTTGGGCTTTAAGAAAGCTTTTTCCTTTTGTACACAATTCTTTTGCCATCATTCAACGTTCTCAATACAGTTCTACAAGGTAGAACTCCATTAATTCATGTTTTGCAGTTGGTGATTTATGATCTGGTAAAGATATTTTATCCAAGTTTGTAAAACCAATCTTTGTTTTGTCTTCTAATTCTGTATATGGTGTGATTTATAGTGAAATAAAAAAGAAAATGTGAAGATTTGGTAATAGGGCTGCAGTAACAAAGTAGTGGAAGAACTTTCAGAGGAAGACAAAAATAAGTTTTCTTTCTACGTTTAGAAGCTACTTCCTCCAAGTATGTGATTGCGTACTGCATAAATTCCCAGTCAATGATAAAGTGATTTTACATGTTAAAGTTGCAAATATTTCTGGTCTAGCAAATGCATCGTTTTCTATTATAAGATATTTTTCAATAGATTTCCAGTTTTACTTTGTTTAGTTTTGAAAGATGATGATGTTGATGTTGCAACTGATAAATTGCAGTTGCAGTTTACAATTAGGAAACTTGGATGTATTTATAAACCTAGGAATTGGGAGTTTACTGATTGAATTTTAAAGTATAGTGAAGTGTCTAGAATAATGTTGGCCATCATGACAATTTTTCATGGTAATGCAGAATGTGAGAGGATTTTCAGTGTTTTTGCAAAACCATTGACTAAATGTAGATGTAATATTAGTAATGCCACATTAGAAAAACTTTTATTAGCAAATCAGCCAATGTGACAATTGCTGTGAATAAAATTATGAAGTTTCTTAGTCATTTCTTAGTCATTTCATCACACAATTGGATGTGCCGTGAGCCAATGAGACAGCCAATTAAAAATTCAGAAATGTATTTCAAATTTGCATCATCAGATTTATTATTGTTTAATACTAATAATTTGTACGTTTTGCAAAATATTTCTTTTGCTGTGTTTTATGGTACGTCTAAGAAAACTTCCAGTGTACAAATAAAAGGGTGAAATATTTTTTTTTATTAGATTAGCTGTTTAAAGTATTTCAGTTAATTACTCGATATTAATATAACTGAAAGTGAGCATCTAAATGTTATGGATATAGATTATATCAAGAATTCCGCACATATATTGAATGAAGCAGATAAGAGGTAAGACAAAACAATCCTGATTTTGTACTAGTATGTTTAGTTGTTTCAAAACAATTTGTTGTAAATAGAGTATTAAAAAAAGAGAGGTCATGAATTTAAGAGAGAGAAATTAAACACTGTTACTGCTTAAGAAAACAGTTATTTCATTTGTATCTTATTTCAACTCTTTGTAATGTAAACGTGAAATTTATTTGAGAGTAAATTGATAGCAGAAATTTAAAGGCAGCGTTTTAAAAGCTCTTTGCAAATTCAACGGAAAAATTGCATGTGAAAGAAATGATAACCATAAACATTGCTTTTACAAACAAAATAGTGTCTGAACAAGAGGTTGAGCCATCTATTATAAAACTGGTTAACTAACTAATGAAATTCAGTATATTTCCAGTTGGAACATTTGAGGGTTGATCTTTACATTATGGTAACTTGGCGTTTTTTTGGCGAAAATTTGCCGACCAACTCTCCTACAGCAACCCTCTATTTTTTTTTTTTCCCGCCGTCATTTTGTCTTCACGAAGTAAAGACATGTTTCTTTTCTTTTTATCTACTGAACACTTCTTCCAACAATCTAGTAGCCGAATTACACTTATGCTAGAAATTTTATCTAACAAAACTGCTTAATCATGACAAATATTCACTGCAAAATTGGGAAAAAGTGCACAATACCATACTCCTTACGCGTTTTTCAAAATAACACATACACATAAACCATGTACACGCCCGACTTATTTTTACTTAAAAAAAACATCCCAGAATTACACAAAAATGGCATTGCGCACACTCTTCACTATATCCATGTACACTGCTTTTTTCTCATAAATTAGAAAAATTTCACGAAAATACATGACAATTTTCTGAATCTTTAAACTCGGTAAAAAGAACATATATGAAAGTACCTGATCGCAAAAAAGTATATACCCTTTCCAAATATGAACATTTCCACATATAAAATAAATAAAATATCCAAAAACTTTTACCTCTAAATCATCTATTATACACATCACCAACGAATTCATACCACAAGCATTACAAATACTTAGTGTCAAATATTTAAATTATTTCCATGCACGTTTACTTCAACTTAAACATATACCAAATTCCTACAAACATAAAATTCACAAAATAACTATCATTTAATTAAACTATCACTAAACCATGTACACGTCGACTTATTTTTACTGAAAAAAACATCCCAGAATTCCACAAAAATGGCATTGCGCACACTCTTCACTATATCCATGTACACATGAAATATTTTGCATCATTTCTGCTATTTCATGCTCTGTTAAACATTTTCGACGCTTCGACATTGCAACGGTAAAAACAGAAAGAATTCACATCTAACAAGATCTAATTATTTTCTAAAAACTGAATTGCAAAACCAAAATACCCAACGCTTCAGCGAAAATAAAACTTCTCTGCTTACAATAAACAACTACCACATGCGAATTTAAAGAGACGTCATAAATCAAGCCATTCGTCTTGTGACAGAAATTATAGTTTTTAAAACGTTCCAGGACACTGGCACAAATACGTGACAGTTGGGGCTGAACGGGAAATTGCTCTGGCACGCCTGCGTGTCGGCCGGGAAGTGAGTGTGTTCGTTGCTGGCACGTAGACTTGACAGTCGGCGCGAAGGGGTTAAGCTGGGTAAACAGATGACTAGTTAATTAAAAAAATCAATTAATAATAAGAGCTAATTTTTATTTCAATTTTTTTAAAAATATTGTATGTGTGGCCCTGCAAAATTTTTTCTTTGCAATGTGGCCCTCAAATAGTCATAGTTTAGACATCCCTAATTTATGCATTCCTTGTAATCATAATCTGATAAAATCTGTTTTGTATTTTTGTATTTATTTAGCATTTAATGAAATAGTAATTTTGTCCATGAAACTTTACATATCATTAGGGTTGTTGCCATCTTGTTAAATTTTGGCCCTGTGTTCATGTTTGACATTAAATGGATTCAGAAACATACCATTAACAGAAGAATACTTTTGTTGGTTACAGTAATTGGGCATATGTTAAAAAAAATTATCAGTTGGATATATTATTGAGAAGTAAAAGATTTAAATTATTAAAAAGTTCTTATTACTTTTAAATTGCTCAGTTTGTAAAGAAATTACAAATTTATTAAATTTGAAAAGAAATTAAAGATTTTTTTTTTTTTTTTTTTTTTTTTTTTTTTTTTTTTTTAAAATTGGCTGAAATTGGCTATCCTTGGCACATATTAGATAAATTTGTTGTCTCATGCTTTGTAGAGTAATAATACCCAGCCAATTTAAATATGTGATAAATACTTGGTAGCTTAATATAATGAAAGCAGCAATTATTATGAGTGTTACATTAGTTTCATTATGTCTTTGTGAACATTTTTGCGAGGACTGCTTAAAATATTTCTAATGTCAGTAAATTGAAAGGGGGTTAAGGTAATAAATTTGGGAAGATGTTCTTAAAAATGGTGAATTGTAAATGTATGTATAATAAAACATGGAACTTGAAGCTGAAAATTTACAGTGTGAATGAACTGAATCTCTTTCAGAATAATGCTTTAACCATTCTAATTTCTTTCATGAGCAAAATCTTTAATTTTTTTATTTTGCTGAAAATTGGGCTTGATTATTGGATTATCTTCTGTTAGTATTTAGTGTATTAACTAATATGCATTTACTGTATTTATTCCATGTTACAAATTATATGTTTATATGAAAAAATTGCTTTCCATTACATTTATTCCTTTATTATTACTCAGATGTAGATGAGCATTACATTTGTTTTATCCCAAATTAGGTTATAATTATCTTTCTTATACTGTTATGACTTTTAATCATTAGTTATTCTAGTCAAAAAATGTAAAGTCATTTAATACTATACCCATTAGCAAGTTGTAACAAATTGTGTGTGTGTGTGGAATGATAAATTCTAGCTTTTTACAGATTATTTTTCAAAATAATTGTTTTCATTAAATTTCTGTATGAAACTGGGAGTATGGGAAATGCAGATTAACTTAAAATGTACATGTACATTTCTAAATTAGGGAATCAATCAAGAAACTGCTTGGGATGTACCTTCCTCTCCTCATTTGAGTCCTAAAGAAGGGAGCACTTGGACGAGCTCTACCAGTACTGGTACAGAAATCTGGGAAAATAACATTCGCCATCATATCAAGAATTCCAATGTAAAAGCACCTGCTCAGATACGTGAACCATGGGGTCACACTCCATCAACACACATTGGTGGAACATGGGGAGAAGAGGAAGATACCACTAACTTGTGGACTGGTGTGCCACAAGCCAGTGGTGCCACCTGGGGAAGTGAAAGCAACACTTCAGTTTGGGGAACAAATCCAGTTGAAGGTAAAAACTGGAGCAGTCAGAATAATTCCATGACTCCCTCAATGAATCCAAATTGGGGTAGTGAACCACGTAAGTATTTTTATGCAATATATGTATTTATAGTATTTTCATATTTGTATGTCGGTATCAAATAGTTAATTTTTATTCCAGTTGAATAAATTTTACAAATTTGCGAAATGATGCCAAACACATTTATTTCTGTATCAAACAATTAAGTCTATTGTTGGAAGACCTATAAATTGCTGAGGATTAAAAATTCCTTAGGAATGAAAGTGATGTAATGTTTGCATATTTAAAACTAACATGTATATAATTTATGCATGAAGGTTTGTGTATATTTATACGATTTAATGTTTTAACACTTGAAAATCATATGATACATAGGTGTAAATATCTAATGAAAATATGGTACTGTTGCCGTACCCTAGACAAGAAGCTATGAAGGTATGAAGGAAATTTTGGTAGTGATCTGAATACAGTTGTCAGGGTAACTATCGCAGCAGTGTGACAAACATTAGTATTATTTTTTAAAGACTATGACTTAGCTATGTTTCACAGTGTAAATTTAAAGCAGCAGTTTGAATAATGACAGTTAAGTAAATTGATTAGCTTTTTATTTCAATTTTTGGCGAATCCCAGAAATCCATGAAGTAACATGAAAGATTTGAATGCCTCATAAAAAGATGCAAATGTTATGAATATGATTGTGAGTATTAGGTAAGCATTTATTGGTAGGTTATCATTTTCTGTTATTTGGCGAAACTTCTAGTCCAGGATAAGCCACAAGTGCCAAATAATCATAATAATTTATATAGTTTGTGATAATTACAATAAATTTATGATCCATATTAATGAATGTATTAAGTCAGTATTAGATTTATTTATTTACATGAAAATTAAAGGAAAATACTGTATTGGCCCATTTTAATACAGTACAAAGTCCGTAATCCGGACTTCGGCGATTTATTAAACATTTCTTTCAATGCAAGTTTTTTAAGTTGCTTCGTTTTTTGTGCTAATACTTTCTCTTTAATTCTATAAACAGACATAATTTCTTGTTCAGTTACAAAGTTCCACTGTTCAAGTCCTGCAATTGCTGTGTCGAGAATACCGACTAACTTGTTAATCAAAATTTTTCCATTTTCATTAACCTCTCTGTCACTTTCTTCATTATCGGAAGCGGTATTTTCTTGATCTAGAAGCATACTACAGATTTTGCCATCCGTTAATTGAATGATGATTGGGGCGTTGTCGTTGCAATGAAAAATTTCTGTTATATCATCTTTATTTATTACCGGTTCTCCACATTTCTTTACAAAATCCAATAACTGGGAAATTTCACCTTTAGTTTGCGATGTCCGAAAATCTTCAAATTCGCGGCTATCATCTTCATCGTCCTCACCATAAAATATGGTAGCTCGCCATAAATTATGGCAAGCATTTTTTAACATATCTGAAGACACATTCTCCCAATGCACATGCGTAAAGCATACAAAAAAAAAGTTTGTGGCTTTGAGGTCCGGATTATAGATCATTCTGGATAATGGACGTCCAGATTACGGACTTTGTACTGTATATATTAGAAGGACCTATATGTGAGATGAACTCAATTTTTTTAAGGAATTTTTTAAATATTAAAGGTTTACATATAAAATGGCATCATATATAAGCCAAATATGTTAAAAGATTTTCTGCTAGAAAATTTAAAGAGTCTAAATTTTATGTTAGAAGTTAAATTAATTAATGTGTTTTCAGCACTTCCTGATTATCCACACCTACATCCTAAAATGTTACCAGCCCTTATAAAAAATTATAATTCAGTAAGAATTATGTAAAATAGCGACTGATCAATAAAAGCATAAGAAACATCCGTAATAAAGCATGTATTTTCTCTCCCGTCACTGTTCTAACCGTGTTCACAGCAATCTGTTTTATCTTCAAAAAGCATCAGAGAATCGCAGAAGCTCCGCACTGTGTACACAGTGTCAAATTTCCATGTACACAGCAGTCTGCTGCTAATAAAAAAGAAAGAAATGGAAGAAGTGCACAAATTTGACATTGCACATGTTTTCTTATGTACACAGTAATCTGTTTTCACTTTAAAAAAATAATAATAAACAGAAAATTGTACAGATTTGTCATCACTGCATGAATTTTGATCCATGAAATTATTTTATTTATGAAGTATAGCTTCATAGAATGTGAATTTTGCCATTTGCTTCTGTTAAACAAGATGCTGTACTTCTAAAGAAATACAGTGCTTTTTCATCACCCAGAAAACTGTATAGTCCTATTACTTAATAACCTTACAAGGGGAAAAAATGTTTTCAGTGCTACAAAAATAAACACTAATGACTAGCTCTTGTTTGCTATGCATGTGCACATACCTGAATTGTTGAATACATTTCCGAGACATCATAAATTGCCCATTTTAGCAGCATAGTGTGATGTAAAATGAAGCATAACTTAAAACATAAACATAGCATAACTATAATAATTAGATAACCTCTGTCATGCTATTCAATTAAACATAAGTTAGCTTCATTTTATTCATTTTCCATTAACTTTAAATTTGCTCCTCCCAATCAGCTTTTGATTAAGAACTAAATAGCTGAAAAGTAGCTGCGATTGGCAGAGGCTTTTCATCTAAAATTATTGACCAAGGCAGTTAAAATTCTCATCTCAACACATCAAAAGCCACTCTCACATTTTTGGAGATTATACGAATTCTCTTGTCATTCATATCTTTCCATCAGTCAGCTATCAAATTGCATGTATTTTACAGAAATTCAACTTTCGGGTCATTTTGACGTTTGTTAATAAAATTCATAATTCTGTATATTCCATTCTGAATATGAACTCTGGGTAATACAGTCAAAAGTCGTTAATCCGGACACCCATAATCCGGAATGATCTATAATCTGGACCTCAAAGCTACAAACTTTCTGCACATGCGGCAACGCATAATGCGTTCACGCATGCACGCAATACTTTTATGCATGCGCATAATATGTTTATGCATGCACGTTTAATGTGTAACGTACGGTATAAGCTAAGCTAAAATTATCTAATTATCTATTTCAGTTAATGTTGCAGATTGCGTTGTACCTTAATCTTCAAATTGGATCCGGCTTATTACTTTTTGCAGACTGTTAGAGCAATTTTATAAAAGTAAGCTTGAACTTTCGATTATGTCAAATAGAATTTCAGATGCTGGAGCTGTCAAAGGATCTAAAAAGCGAAAGTACGAGGTATATTCGGAAACTAAGTACCGTTTTGAAAAAAAATAAATAAATAAATAAATAAAACAATTTTTTCGAATCCAATTTTATTTTTACATGAAAATACATGTCTTAAACTGTTTTTCAATGTAGTTTCCGCCAATGATCAAACACTTGTCATAGCGGGTAACCAGTTTTTGTATACCATCATCAAAGAAACTTCCCGCCAGTTTCGATAACCACGACTCCACAGCATTTTTCGTGTCATCATCATATCCAAAGCGCTTGCCACCAAGCTCGCGCTTCATGTGCAGGAACAAGTGATAGTTGGACGGCACCAAGTCCAGGCTGTAGGGCGAGTGATCGAACTGCTCCCAATGAAACTGTCGAATTAACGATTGAGTGACACCAGCAGTATGGGGCCGAGCATTGTCATGGAGCAACACAATTCCTTTACTGAGCATTCCTCTTCGTTTGTTTTGAATAGCAAGCCTTAGTTTTGTTAAAGTCTCACAATATCATGCCGCATTAATGGTTTCACTTCTGGGAAGAAATTCAGTAAGCAAAACGCCTTTCCTATCCCAGAAGACAGTGCACATGATTTTTTGTGATGACATTGTCACTTTGAACTTTTGTTTTTTCGGAGAATGAGTGTGTCTCCACTCCATTGATTGTTGTTTCGATTCTGGTCTGAAATGACACACCCAAGTTTCATCACCTGTCAAAATTTGGTTTAAAAAGTTTTCTCCCTCATCACTGTACTGCGTGAGAAATGTCAGGGCACTACCAAGTGCTTTGTTTTGTGAACATCAGTGAGCATTTTTGGAACCCATCGGGAACACAGTTTGCGATAATTCAAGCGGTCCAGACACAATTTCGAACAAAACAGTACGTGAAATTTGTGGAAATGCCTCTGAAAGAGTTATCATTGTGAAGCATCTGTTCTCATGAATTGCTTCATCAACTTTCCTTACCAAATCATCGGTGACAACAGAAGGCCGACCGTGGACATTTGTTCGACCTGCATTAAACATTCTTACCCACTTTCTCACCATTCCATCACTTATCGCGTATTCACCGTAAACTTCTGTCACTTGACGATAAATTTTGGCCGATTTAACATTCCTCGCGTTCAAAAATTTAATCACGGCACGAATCTCACAGTCAGCGGGAGAACTAATTGTCTTAAACATTTTGAATGTGCACAGCAAACTGAAAACGCAACATAGAGCAACCAAAATGGCGACAATTGAAAGTCAGTGAACAAGAATAACTAGTGCGCATGCGCGGGACACCTACCACAGCGCTGTGACGGCGCTAGAATGAAACAGTACTTAGTTTCCGAATACGCTACGTATGTTTCGATGTCCATCAAACAAAAAGTGGAATTGCTGCAAAAAATGGATAAAGGCATATCCTTTGTTTCTCTAACCATTCCGAAATCTGTTTATCAATTTCACGCTGCTCTGCGGGGGGGGGGGGACGTCGTGGCGTGCAATGAATTGGAAGTTTGATCTGTCAGCACTATCCTTATCTTCAGGGCAGATGTTTTTATTTTATTTGGCTTATAATTCCTTACTAAATGTAGTATTTCATCTCGATGTACTCTGTCTTTGATATGATTTAAATCAAATTCCTCGTCATTATAATTCGCTTCTGATAGTGAAGAAAGTGACACAGAGGTTATTGAAAATGAAAAAATTTCGATTGACAAATTAGTCGGTGTTCTTGACACAGCAATTATAGGACTTAAACAGCGGAACTTTGTAACTGAACAAGAAATTATGTCTGTTTAATAGAATTAAAGAGAAAGTATTATCACATAAAACAAAGCAACTTGAATAACTT